CATAATGGTGTCAGTGAAGCTAGGGGACAGTGTTTCAAGGAGAGACCAGTAAACATTGAGAAAGATGACAACTGAAAAGTATTCTGTGAGAGGTAGTATTATTGTTTTCTGCAATATAACTATTTAGGAAACCCAAGGTAATCAGCTGAAAAACAATTCTAACAAATAATAGTTCGGTAAGGTAGCAGTCTCTACAGAAACATGCACAAAGCCATAGACTTCTTACAAACTAACAGTAACTGTTAGGGTGGCAAGCCTTGTAGGTGCTCATGGCCCGGGTGGAGAAAGATGTCACACACAGAAACTAGGATATATAAAAGTAAAAAAAAATATTTTATCTTTTATTTTTTTTTAGAGGAAGCCACATTTCCTCATATTTGATCTTCTTAGAGAAGAGAAAGAATGAGAGAGTGAGAGAGAGGAAACAGTGAGAGCCAGGCAATCCCAAAGAAAGAAGGGGCTGCCAGCAAAGAGGCAAAATGGTTTGCTGATTTTATGGGGACAAAAAGAAAGAAAAAAAAAAATAGTGATTGTTGTCAGTTGAAACTGAAGCGGCTGCAGAGTAATTGGAATAATTAGCAGGCAGCTGGGAGGTGTCAGGTTGTCTTGTTTTCTCTGTTTCTGGAGACTTGGTTATCTCCAAAGTGGCAGGGGATGTGATTTTGTCCCTGAGATAAGGTTTTGGGCAGGAAACTGAGGCCTGGTGTTTGCTCCTCTGCTGTCCCTTTGGGGGCTTCTCAGGAACTCCCTGAGGCTATATAGAAACAGATTCTAAAGGCTGGGAACCCGTGAATGTAAAGAGAAAGATTAACATTTCCTTTTTGTCTGTTGGGCTCCTTTGAGAGGATTGTGAAAATGGAACCCTGCAGGGTGCTTGCCTGCTGGGGAGAGAAAGAGCTGGGAGAGAGCTCATGATCCATGTTTAGCTGTTATTGGGGAAATTGCAGGATTAGATATTTTCCTGGTATTTCAGCAAGGCTGCCCTTTTCAATAACCAATTAGAAAGCATTATGAACAGAAGACCCTATTCACAATAAAAACAAAAACAAACAACCTCCTCTACCCACAAGACCCTACATAAGCTGGCCCTTGCTACCTTGCTTGCCTCATCCTTTATTATTGCTTTTTTTCTTGAGGTGAAATTCATATAACATAAAATCGACTATTTTATTTATAATTCTAATATTTTTTTCCTTTTTTTAAATTCAGCTCTTTTCAGAAGTTGTGCAAAAAATTGACTATTTTAAAGTGAACAATTCAGTGGCTTTTAATACATTGATAACTACCACCTTTATCTAGTTCCAAAACATTTTTTTCATCACCCCAAAAGGGAATGCATTAAACAATACTCCCCACTTCCCTACCCCTCAACCCCTGTAACCACTTCTATTTTCTATCTCTATAAATTTGATTATTCTAGGTGCCTTATATAAGTGGAATCATATAATATTTGTCCTTTTGTGTCTGGCTTCTATCACTTATTATGATGTCTTCTTCAAGGTTTATTCTCCATGTGGCAGCATGTAGCAGAATTTCTTGTTCTGGCTGAGTAATATTCCATTGTATGGATATTCTGCATTTTCTTTCTCTGCTAATCAGTTGGTGGACCTTTGGGTTGTTTCCACCTGTGGGCTATTGTGAATAGTTTATTCCCACTCCATTCACTAAGTCGCACCTCCCTGGCCTTCTTCCTGTGGCTTCTGCCTGAGGACCATTGTATCTTTTGTTATTCCCTCTGCCTGGAATGCTCTTCTCCCAGCCATCTCTCCATGGCTCGCTCATTCTCATCCTTGCAGCTCAAATGTCATGTCCTCAGGGGAGACTTCCCTGATCACTGTATTTAAAGTAGTTTTACCCCTAGTCATTTTTTTTTTTTTTTTGAGACAGAGTCTCACTTTGTTGCCCAGGCTAGAGTGAGTGCCATGGCGTCAGACTAGCTCACGGCAACCTCAAACTCCTGGGCTCAAGCAATCCTTCTGCCTCAGCCTTCTGAGTAGCTGGGACTACAGGCATGTGCCACCATGCCCAGCTAACTTTTTCTATATATTAGTTGGCCAATTAATTTCTTTCTATTTATAGTAGAGACGGGGTCTCGCTCTTGCTCAGGCTGGTTTCGAACTCCTGACCTCAAGCAATCCACCCACCTCGGCCTCCCAGAGTGCTAGAATTACAGGCGTGAACCACCACACCCGGCCCTTAGTCATTTTTTATCCCATTATCCTGTTGTAGTGTCTTCATAGTACATATCAATATCTGAAATGAATAAGAAGTATTGTCTAGACCAGGAGTTATTTTGTGTCACTGGCCCCTTTAGCAATGTAGTAAAGCCTACGGGCTCATTCTCAAAATAATGTTTCTAGATGCCTAAAATATACCAATTATACTAGAAATACAATTACCAAAATATTTAAAAACTGGGATTTAGTAATCCATGTGCATCTCTATCAATTCCTGAACTAATAATGTCTATATGCAGGCTTAATAATGATCAGAATTTAGAAGTTGTGATGCATCTAAGTGCTATTTTGGGATATTTGCAACAGCTGGACTAGGAAATGAAAATATCAGTGAGTTTTATTGGTTACAGAATCACTGGTACTGCTAACATTACTGTAGATTGTTACCTAGGTTTGTAACTGAAAAAACTGCTAAACTTTAGTTAGAGATTAGTGGGAAAGGTGTATTATTTTCTTATCCATGTTTATGGATCCTCTGAATTCTGTCCATAGATCCTTTGGAAGTCCGTGGACTCCAGGGTTAAGAACTCCTGCCTTGAAAGGTCAAAAATTATCAGTGGTGATGAAGAAGGGTAGAGTCTGTTGGAACTAATTTTGGTCAGAGATGGAAGATACCTAGTCAACCACGGATTAAAGAGCTAGAAGAAAGCTGCCCTCTCTGCCCCTCCATGAAACTAGAGTGTGGGAGGTGAAGATATTTCCAGTTGAGAAGGACATGAGAAAAGCAACATCTTTGAAGGACAGTCAGGTATCACTTAGAGGAAGGAAGCAGTTTGAGAGGAGGTAGCCTATGGGAGTGAGGGATTTTGTTTATCATCGACTGGAATCCACTGAGCACAATAGAGTGTGGAGGAAGAGAGGTGGCCACCGTGGGAAGCTGAGCCACTGGGTCTGGGGGTGGAGGGAGCTCCGAGCGGTAGGCGGAACCTTACTATATTCCAGACAGCAGGCTAGACATTGAGGATATGAAGATGAATAAGACAAGGATGAGTCACCCATTTAGGATTCATCTAGACCAAATCCTGGTGGCTGATTGGCTAGTTTGGCTGATCTGATCCATGCACCTCTTCAGAGACTCCGTGAGCCAGAGGCAGTGACAGTAAGAAAGGCACAGAGTATCACTAGAGGTTCAGGGGGAAAAAAGCCAAAACACGTACTCTTCTCTTTCCTGCTTTGATCCCTTGTGCAAAGCAAAAAATGAAGTTAAAAAGTTACATAATGGAGAAAAAAATGAAGCAGTGCCGTGATCGGATCATCTAAACCAGCCAATCATCCAAAAATTAATTAGATAACACTAGGGGATGCATCTCCCACACTCACTGCAAATTCTTCGGGAACCTTCTAAGGATCTTTGTAACCAAGAGATTCTTTGATGCTATTACCCTTCAGAACAATGTTGGCTCAGAGGCATCAGAGGAAGAAAGAAAGGACTATATTTTTAGATTTTTCTGTGGGGCTCCAGAAATACCCTGCACCTGGATCTCTCCTCTGCATGCAGCTCTCAGAATCTACAATTCTGTGATTCTTTTTTAAAAAGCTATTTTTCCCTTCTCTACTAGGTGGATCTTTCAGAAAGGCTCAGGTTGGGGGCTGCTGCAGGTAGGAGGCATTGGCTGGGCCCAGCTCCTCCTTTGATCATGTTCCCTTCTGGCAGTGGTATCTGAAAATTCCCTGCCCTGGGCCCAGATAATGAGCCTCTTCTAGCCTGAAGGAGGGCAGCCCCTCAGGTAGAGAGGCAGCAGACAGCATCCGATGCAGAGTTGAAGCTAAGCTGACCTAGTTAAAGCAGAAAGAGGCTATAGGGGTGGCAGAGATGGTTGAGGAGGGGACAGGGGCAGGGAGAGAAGGAAGCTTCCAAGTGAGGTAGGCCCAGGACTGGGAGGAATAGAGGGTTGACCATTGTTTAAGAAGTCCTGAGGAGACTTGGGGGCCACCAAGGGGAGCTCTGTGGGGAGACTCGGTGAGCTGGGGTACATGCATACCTGTGTGGAGGGTGTGTGCAGGGCAGGTCTTTATCAGATTTTGCCCAAATATTTAGATTTTAAAGTCATAACCTTGGAAGAATTGAGAACCAGAAAAATATCTGGACTTCAGGGGAGCCAAGTGGGGAGCGCCACTAAACCCAGAAAGAATGAGCAAAAAGCCCAGAGCATTCTGACAAGATTCCCCAGCAGTGGCTCAAGGGGAACTGTGTACCAGTTCCCCATCCTAGGCACCATGTGGGCAGATACAGGAAGCAACGACATGAGCCCAGCCAGGAGGAAAAGCAGCCCATCTGCAGATAGTGCCAGTGGGCACCACTCTATGCTGGTACCTCCCAGGGGATAGACAAGTGCCCTTCACAGGCCCTGTCCTTCAGCAGGACACAGTCTATTTGAGACAACACTAATCCTTGTGAAACAAGAGTAAACAGTCCAATGCCACATTGTTGTCATGCTCCTGGGTCACAGAAAGGATTTCTGGCGTATGTGGAGAAGGCTGTAGGAAGGAGGTGGACATTAAACTGAGCCCTGAGGTCAGGGAGGGCAGGATTGGGATGAGGAGAGAGAGTGAAGGCACACAGGTGGGCATAAGTGGGGCTCATGTGGGGACCAACACGAGGTGGCCAGGCTGACAAGATTGGAGGCCCACTAATGGGAGATGGGGAAATCCGGCTGGAAGGGAGAGAGTCAGATCATAGAGGGCATTTGGAACTTCTAAAAGGGACTCTGTCAAAATCCAAGATTTGGAAGGGATCCGGCCTTTCGCTCTTCTCCCCTTTAGCTATAAGCCCATCGTGGAATTCATCGATGCGCAATTTGAGGCCTACCTGCAGGAGGAGCTGAAGATCCGAAGAGTGCTGCACACCTACCATGACTCCCGAATCCACGCCTGCTTGTATTTCATCGCCCCAACGGGTCATTCCCTGAAGTCTCTGGACCTAGTGACAATGAAGAAGCTTGACAGTAAGGTATGGTGGCGAGGCGGGAGGCTGGGCAAGCCTGGCTCACTCTTACTGATCACATATGCAAAATAGATCCTCTCCTTCATTCCCTGTCCCTCCCTAAAGATGGTGGTGTTGATCCAGCACCTGTGTCAGATGCTGTGTGACCTGTTTTCCCAGCATTAGGGATGGGTTTGCCCTGAGCTGTCTGTCTGCCCTGATGCCTCTTGGGAATATGGGCGGATACAAGCTGTCCAGGTCTAGGGCACACAGCTTTGGCAATGGCAAGGTGTTTCATCTTTGTCTCAATGTTAACTGGCCTGTGCTAGAATCAAACATGCAAACTTAACTGTGAAAGTTATTTTTGGAAACACGTGTTCCTGTCTTGTGACATGAGTAGTGTTTCCCAGCCTGTCAGAATGGCCACTGCAGGTTGAGACCCCTTCACAAGAAATAAAGCTCTCCTTTAAAAAAAAAAAAAAAAACATGTATATAGGCTGGGCATGGTGGCTTATGCCTGTAATCCTAGCACTCTGGGAGGCCGAGGTGGGAAGATCCTTTGAGCTCGGGAGTTCGAAACGAGCCTGAGCAAGAGCGAGACCCTGTCTCTACTAAAAAAGTAGAAAGAAATTAATTGTCCAACTATATATATATTAGCTGGGCACGGTGGCACATGCCTGTAGTCCCAGCTACTTGGGAGGCTGAGGCAGGAGGATCGCCTGAGACCAGGAGTTTGAGGTTGCTGTGAGCTAGGCTGATGCCATGGCACTCTAGCCCAGGCAATAGAGTGAGACTCTGTCTCCCCAAAAAAAAAAATAAATATATATATATATATATCTTATTATCAATAATAATTTTTATAGCAGTTAACATCTGTTAAGCTTTCATTGTATGCCAATCTTGTGAGGTAAATACTATTGTTATCCCCATTTTACAGAAGAAAAAACTGATGTTCTGAGAGGTGGTGACTTGCCCGTTGTCACATAGCTAGCTACTGGTGGAACGTAGATTCAAACTCAGATCTGTGGCACCATGTTATATTGCCTCCATGTCTTAGAAAAATGGGTATGGGAACCAGACATATCCTTCTTTAAGAAAAACTGAAAAATGCAAATCATACACCCATGTATGAATTAGACAGTTTTAAAGGGTTGTTTGCTGCACAAAAGAATTGACCACGGGATTCTTCAAAAAGCCTAATTATTAGTACATTTTTTCTTAATGTTTAGTGTGTGCCAGGCACTGTGATGAGTACTTTATATGCATTATTTTATTTCATCATTCCAATAATCCAGTATAATGAATACTATTATTATTTTCATTTTACATATTGGGAAACCGAGGCACAGAGAGTTAAGTAGCTTGCTCAAGGTCAGACAATTTGTAATTGGTCCAGGATTTGGACCTAGCTCTTTCTGACTCCAAGGTATTTCATTTTATAAAACTCTAATTTACTTGCAGTCATTTAGTAGCACAACCAGTATAAAGACGGAATTTCAGCTATCATCAGAATAGAAACAATTTTTCATTTTTTGCAGCAATGAGCTCACTGTCCATGAATAATGGGCTGCTCCTGAAATGCTGCCATGCCCTGCATGTTCTGTATTAGGGCAGCATTGAGCCAGGCGGCTGGAGGACTGGTGGGTAGTCTGGGTTAAATAAGCAGCCTTTGACATATGTTTATATTGTGCCAATGGGGACTTGGCGAAAGTGACAAAGAGGATTGGCTCTTCCTGGTGTTCCACCTTGGCAAGAGCTTTGACCACCTGCACTCCTGAAAGACTTCAAGGGAGGTGCCTCCAAAGTCCAATCTTTCTTTGCCTCAGCACCTGAAGCCCTGTGTGCTATCAAACTTTAGAGCCACTCCTAAGCCAAAGTGCAGAGGAAGCAGGACTTGTCTTCCAAGTCTAGAGCTCCCAGACTCCCTTTTCCGAGCCCAGGGCCTGAGCGCCACCCATTGGAGTCTGCTGACAGGATTGATTGTGCTCTCCATGTGACTCTGGGCTTAGGTGTGCTCTGTCTCACGAAGGCATCTGCATTTCAAATTTCTTTACCTTCTCACCAGAAAAGCCTTGTCCCTGCTTAGAGGAATTTCCACCATCAGGATTCAGGCAGGTTGAACTTTGGGGTGGCATTAGGCCTTTCTCCTGCTGTCTGAAATTGGGCATTTATACCTGCTTTCTTTGCCCAGAAACTAAGCATGAGACTCAGGCAGTATAACTCTTTCTGCATAAGTCTCAGATCAAATTGGTAAGGGAAAGGGTCTTCTTCACCTACCTGGTTGGCTAATCAGTGTTTGCTGCCAGAAAGAGAGCCAGATGTGCATCTTCACCGAGCACTGCCCCTGCCTTCCTCCCTGCCATCTCCCAGGTGGGTCCATATCACACCTGGCTGGGGTTAGCCTGGACTGCATAATTTGGGATAATTTACTGTTAATAAGGAATAGAAGCCGGGCGCGAGGTGGCTCACGCCTGTAATCCTAGCACTCTGGGAGGCCGAGGCAGGTGGATTGCTCGAGGTCAGGAGTTCAAAACCAGCCTGAGCGAGACCCTGTCTCTACCATAAAAATAGAAAGAAATTAATTGGCCAACTAATATATATAGAAAAAATTAGCCAGGCATGGTGGCGCATGCCTGTAGTCCCAGCTACTCGGGAGGCTGAGGCAGCAGGATTGCTTGAGCCCAGGAGTTTGAGGTTGCTGTGAGCTAGGCTAATGCCACGGCACTCACTCTAGCCTGGGCAACAAAGTGAGACTCTGTCTCAAAAAAAAAAAAAAACAACCAAGGAGTGGCCATCTCTCCCCCTGTCAACTGCAGATTTTTAGCTATCAGATTTTCTGCTTCAAATCACCTAAGCCATGACCCTGATACCCAGAGATCTCACAGCTCATCAACTGGGTTCTGACCTGGTAGATAGCTTATGGATAAGACTATGGATTTAGGAATAAGGCTAAACTTGGATTTGAATCCCAGTTCTGCTACTTACCTCCTCTGTGGCCTTGGACAAGTTTCTTAACCTCTCTGTGCCGTAATTTTTCCTTGGTAAAATAGTAATAATAATATCTCCTGGGAGGGTTATTGTCAGGATTAATTGTGCCAATCCATGTAAAGTACTTAGCTCAGTGCCCAGCACATAGTAGGCACTATGTTGCTATTTTTTATATTCTTTGGCTACAGAGGTAGCCAGTCCTTGACCATTGTGCTGAGCTGCTCTTTTCTGGCAGCTGGTAGAAGTCCTGGGTCATGCTGCTGTCAGTTGCAGGTTACCAACGATGATGCCACTTTGCTTCTCCTTTCCCTAGGTGAACATCATCCCCATCATTGCCAAATCAGATACCATTTCTAAGAGTGAGCTAACGAAGTTCAAAATCAAAATCACCAGCGAGCTTGTCAGCAACGGGGTCCAGATCTATCAGTTCCCTACAGATGACGAGTCGGTGGCAGAGATCAACGGAACCATGAATGTGAGTGGGCGCACAGGGGCTCAACTTTCTGACCATTTGCTCTTTATTATTATTTTGCCAAATAGCAGTAAAGCATCTTCACTGTCCATCTTGGCATAGACCACTCTCAATTATCTAAGTCTCAGGTATTTGTGAGAGAGAATCCAGAACTAAAGCAGCCCCTCTGTCCTAGTGGCTGCTGCAAAGCCTCAGATATGCAGAGATTAATAGCCAGAGACCCCGGGAAAGGGAAGGCTGACTCCAGGAAGGGGGTGGGACAGGGACTCGGGCCTCTCCTTTCACCCACCTCCTTGGTGCTGCTCTGGTCTAGGCCAGGCAGCCCCCATGGGACTGCAGGAAAGGCAGTCTTTGTCTTTGATCAAAACAATGCTGGGACCATTGATGCAGTGAAAGAAGAAAAGGTTGAAAAAGTTGGCTGGCTTTGGAGACTCAGGGATAAGCTGTACTCAGATAATCAAGCCCTCTGCCCCCAGGAAGACAAATGGTGCAGGGGTCCTCAAACTGCGGCCTGCGGGCCACATGCAGCCTGCCAGGTGATTTTGCCGCGGCTGCCTGTCCTGCTTAGCAGCCGACTCGTCCCAGGCCCACAGTGCGCATGTGTGGAATGTGCGACGCACTCTCCAACAGTCTGAGGGACAGTGAACTGGCCCCTGTTTAAAAAGTTTGAGGACCCCTGGTATACCCCTGGTATAGCCTCTGAGGTTGCTGGTGATTAGAGAGATGTTATTTTTAAATATAAGGTTTATGCTTTGCTTTATTAAGTGTGAATGAATAAAAAAAATCCTTGCCATCTTTCCTCTCCTTCCCCACTTCCCACTACTAGAGGAATGAGTAAGAATGAAGGCAGAGAGTCAACGTCTCCTCATGCTTCTTTACAATGTGTTGATGCTGTTGCCTCGAAATTGTCAATGTTGTGATTTCAAGGAGACAGCTAATAGCTTTCAGAAAGCCTCTGCGTTGGGAACAGATTTCTTTTTCTCTATTGAGAGGCATCAGTTTTTCCTAATGACATAATGCCTGGGTATAGCCAAACTCAGGAAAGCCTTGTAATAAAAGCCATTTTTAGAAAACTTTCCTGCTGCTGCTGCTGCTGCCCTCTAAGTTATCATTACAGCATCAGCTGCCACCTCCTATGAATTGGCCAACAAATTAGCATAGCAGGGCAGCGAGCCCTTGTCGCCTGACTTCCTGCCCATCAGTACACTGGAGATAGGTTTGTTATTAGAAGTCCATCATTATGTTTGACAAATCTAGCTCAAGGGTAAGACTTTTTGGATTGTGGTAGGTGGAGGAGATATATCCTCTGTGACTGGCCATGGGCATGGAAAAAAATAAAAAAGATTACCGTTAGTCCTTGTAAGCAGTCAGAGTGTTTTGATGGAAACTAGGCTCTGTTACGATGAGAAAACCTGAAAGGGTGCCCAGCTTGCCAAAAAATGGGAGAGCCTAGAGAGAAATGCTGTCTGGGTGTCACTGGTGCTGATGTCTGGAAGCATCTAGTCACCTCAGGACATCAGCCCCTGTGGATGTCTTCCAAATGCCAATTCCCTAAGTCATCAAGCACATTTCAGGCTGTGGTTTGCTTTGCTAAGAATAAGTAGGGACTGAGAGTTTTCAGCAATCTCAAGGTGTCACACAAAACTCCATTGTGGATTAGGGGTGACAGTCATCCTGGGCTCTGTTCTCAGCTCAGCTCTGGCCTCCTGCTGAGCCTGGGGTAGACTCAGCTTCAAGGTTGGAAACTTCCCATGCTGTAAAGCAGCAGTTCTCAAGCGCACTGTGATGGCTGGGAAGGGGTTATGGGTGCTTTGTTACTCATAAAATTCCAAGGGTTGCCAGTATTTCACTTTGAAAAACTAAATTGGAATGGATTCAGGGTTATCCCTATAATAACATCACTCACCACTCACTCCCTTGCATTCCACCCTGCTTTGGTGAGTGGGAAAGAGAGGAGTGGCCTCACAGCCGGTGTCCCTCACATTGGGCATGCCTGTGGAAGGGGCCTGCATGTGAGTGCTTGGTGTCACATGCACTGTGATGGAGGAAAGGGTAGGGTGTCACTGCTAAAAAATGTGTATACAAGATCGCTTAGCCTGCCTGCCACTGAAACAACTGTGTCAACTCTGTCAAAAGTCCCCAGAGTCTTCAGACAAGCCATGACGTATGAAGCTACAGCATCAGAGACCTGGGCTCAGGTGGTTGGAGGAATGGGTGCTGGCCTTTCAATTCTGGATTTGACTCCAGCCCCACAGCTTCAGCCACCACAGACAATTGGCATAGGAACTGGATTGTGCCTGAGTGGAGAAGTACAGCATCCTGTCACTCACCCGGGGGGATTTTCATGGCAGGAAATGAGAGTAATGAGGTCTCAGCTTCCCCTTTGGCTTATGGGTGGCTCTGGAAAACCTTTCAGATGGTGGGAGGCAAGAGAAGGGAGAGAGAGGTCTTGCTGCATGCTACTTTCAACCCATGCTCTGATATCTTTCAAGGTTGTAGACTTTAATACTAAAAATTGTCAAGTTGTTTAAATTTAAGGTTGTTCTTTGAATGGTTCAAACCATGGCCAGGGACCAGTGAATAGGCCCAATTACTCAGCTGAGTTCAGTTGGTTGGCCATTTGGTCTGGGGTTTGGTCCCCACAAAGGCATTTGGCATTTGGGCATAGTGAGAGCACATGTCTGACCAGTGGAGTCACAGGGAGACCCCCAGGTGCAAGCTCATCCCTTATCTTGAAATAGGAATGGTATCTCCATTGCTCGCATGAACTTTTGCAGGATTCACCAAGGGCTGACTTGAGAGCAAATCAGGTAATGGTCTTAGTTGCCAGTAGGAGCCTGAAATGGGGACAAACATGACCAGCAGTACAACTGGGAAACACTGTCCACCTTGGGAGGAAGCCAAGCCCAATCAGGGTATTATCATCAAATGAGGAATAAAGAATCCTGCAAGTCTCTGTTTCATTGGGCTAAGGGAATAATCATCTAGCCTCCCAAGTATAGTGCATATGATGGAATGAGAATAAAATAATTCATGGCAATTGGATCATCAAACCAAGAGGGCTGAGTGCAGTGGCTCATGTCTCTAATCCCAGCACTTTGGGAGACTGAGGCAGGAGGACTGCTTAAGGACAGGAGTTTGAGGCCAGCCTGAGCAACATAGTGAGACCATGCCTCTACAAAAAATTTAAAAATTAGCCATGCATGGTAGTGTGTGCGTGTAGTCCCAGCTATTCAAGAGGCTGAAGCAGGAGGATCGCTTAAGTCCAGGAGTTCGAGACTGTAGTCAGCTATGATCATGCCACTACATTCCAGCCTGGGTGACAGAGCAAGACCCTGTCTCTAAAATACAAACAAATAAAATAAAATGTACCAAGATGAGCTTAAAGTAGACATGAGACAGTGTAGCACAAGTAGGGCTATGGTTTGAATATGTCCCCTCCAAAATTCAAGTGTCGCCTATGTGATGGTTTTAAGAGATGGGGCCTTTAAGAGGTGATTAGGTCTTGATGGCTCCTCCCGCATTAATGGGATTAAAGCCCCTTTAAAAGAGGCTTCAGAGGCCGGGCGCGGTGGCTCACGCCTGTAATCCTAGCTCTTGGGAGGCTGAGGCGGGCAGATTGCTCAAGGTCAGGAGTTCAAAACCAGCCTGAGCAAGAGCGAGACCCCGTCTCTACTATAAATAGAAAGAAATTAATTGGCCAACTGATATATATATAAAAAATTAGCCGGGCATGGTGGCGCATGCCTGTAGTCCCAGCTACTCGGGAGGCTGAGGCAGAAGGATCCCTGAACCCAGGAGTTTGAGGTTGCTGTGAGCTAGGCTGACGCCACGGCACTCACTCTAGCCTGGACAACAAACCGAGACTCTGTCTCAAAAAAAAAAAAAAAAAAAAAAGAGGCTTCAGGCGGCATTGGATTACCTTGTCCTTCTAAACTGTGTTTTAGCAGCAACACTGCCTTCCCTCTATCAGATTTTCCTCCCTGCGGCCACACATACAAAATGTCACCCCTGCCAGTCTCCTGCAGGGATTTAGGGGGAAAAAAAGGCAGAAAGCCTGGCCTCAAATTTGAATCCTATGGGTAGTACCTAGAAGTATGGTTGAGGGGTTTATCTTCTTGCTCTGTTCGACTCCATTCTGGTTGTCATGGCCATCTGTCTCTCAGAAGCAGCGGGACAGAGGGCCAGAACCTGGTCCCCATGACTTCATGCCTGTCGTGGTTAGCTGACTTCCAGCAGATGCTATGTAGCCAGGAGGCAGAGCGCAGGCCACCCTGAGTGGCTGGGTGAGGTTGGCAGGCAAAGCTTCCCTCCTTGGGAATATCTGGGCATGGGGTTAGGGACCTGGACAACTCGTTTAACCTTTCTGTATCCCAATTCCCCCAAATGACAAATGGGGTTTATAATCATTGCCCTATAAGGCTGTTGTGAGAGTTGGAACAAAAGGGGAGCACTCAGAAATGCCCACTTTGCATATACTTATCAGAACAGACTCTAATCTGATACCAGTTGCAAAGGCGTGTGCAGTGGGAGGGCTTGGGAGTCCTCTAAAGTCTTTTTGGTGGCGGCTGTGTTTTAGAGCAGGGGGAAGCGAGATGAATAAAATGACAGCAGTTTTGAGCAGGAGGCAGGAAGCAAGTGACCCTGTCATCCTGGCAATGTCTCTTGATGATAAAAATAACATACCCAAGGCAATACTGACCTTTCTCTATGCCTTTATTTTCTTTTTGGGTTTTTTTCCTCTTTTTTTCTTAAGCCCCAAGAAATACCTCCCACTTCAACCGCCTTCTTCTTCCATCACTTAAAGCTGAGAGCCCAGGATAACGTGTATGATACAAGGCTTCCCTTTCTCACTTCCTCCCTCGGTCTAGCCCTCTGCAGTGGCTGCTTCTTGGCTCTTTTGTGTCTTGTGGCCGAAGCTTTGGGGGTCTCTGCAGGGGAATCATTTTCCTGGAAAGTGTTTGGGGGTGGATTTGAGGCTCCTGACATGTCTTATGTCCCTGAGTGGGAATGAATTGTGGCCAGATGACACTCCCACCCCGCCTCATACACACACAGAGGCAGCTGGCAAAGGCTGGGGATGCTCAGGCCCTTGGGCAGCATTTGCAGGAATTCAGTTCTCCCCAAATGCCCCGTGTGTCACATGCCCAATTACCCTGTTGATCATTCTGCTACCCCAACGGGGACTGATGAAATAGTTTCCACCTCCACCCGACAGCCACCTTCCATATCTATAACCTCCTCCTTCCTATGTCCCTATTTTGGGAACAGTCAGTGGAGTGGGAAGGAGTTGGGCAGTAGCTGAGAGAGGGGAGAGAGTGAAGGAAGAACAGCTGCAGCTGGTGGCTAAGCCCCTTGGGGGATCAGTGGATGTCCTGGAGCTGAGCTCCTGATGAAATCCTGGGTTTTTCCCCAACTCTAAAGGACATTATTGGGGTCCAGAGCTAGATAAGAATGGAGAGGAAGGATTGGCTATGAGATCAGCACGCAGATTAAACACACAAGCAACAGATTTTCTGTGGGGTTCCCGAATTGAGCTGCATTTTATAATCTGGTTTTGCACAACCAGTTCCCCCCAGGGCTTAGAGTGCTCACCGTATCTGCTGCCCGAACCCCTCAAATGGGAGTAGCAGACCAGCAAGGGCTGGGCTTTGAAGTCAGAAACCAGGATTCTATACCTAGTCTGCTCTTACTGTTGCATGCCTGCTGATAAGTTACTTCACCCTCTGGACCTCCGTTTCCCCGTCTATGACATGGGGATAAGACTACCCACCTCATAGTGTTGTTGTAAAGCTTCAATGACATAATTCCATGTATAGCACCTGGTACACATGCATAGAGCTTAATAAATTGCTGCTGCTGGTGGTACTGTTGGTATGATTGCTACTACCTACTCTGTGATATCTTCTTTGACTCCCCATGAAGTTAGTTGCTCCCTCCTCTGTGTTCCTCCAGTCCCTAAGCCTCAGTTTACATCCCTGATCTTCTTGTATTATCACTGCTGACAACTCTGTCTCCCTGAGCAGACTGCACTCTCTGGGGGCAGGCTTTTTTTGCTTTTTCAATGTTGTATTCTTTTTTTTCTTTTTCTTCCTTTCTTTTTTTTTTTTTTTTTGAGACAGAGCCTCACTGTGTTGTCCTGGCTAGAGTGCTGTGGTGTCAGCCTAGCTCACAGCAACCTCAAACTCCTGGGCTCAAGCAATCCTCCTGCCTCAGCCTCCCGGGTAGCTGGGACTACAGCCATGTGCCACTATGCCCGGCTAATTTTTTGTATATATATTTTTAGTTATCTAGCTAATTTCTTTCTATTTTTAGTAGAGTTGGGGTCTTGCTCTTGCTTAGGCTGGTCCCCAAACTCCTGACCTTGAGTGATCCTCCTGCCTTGGCCTCCCAGAGTGCTAGGATTACAGTTGCGAGGCACCGCGCCGGCTTTCAATGTTGTATTCTTCTTAATGCCTAACATATACTAGGAGTTCAGTAAATATTTGTAAAATGGATGAGTGACCAAATGGGTCAAAATATCTGAGACTATGGCCCATTTCTCCAAGCAGGCTAAGAAAGCTTGCTCCAGTGGACTTTTTACCTGTTGGGGTTAAAGCCCTACCTGCTCTCACCTGGTTTGTAAATAATGTTTATTCCATGGTTCCATTTGGCCAGTGGTGACTCAGCACTTACAAGCTGGGCAGCTCTCTACAGACTGGGCCTATGAGCATTTCCCAGGAGTGCGGGTAAATACTTGCCTTCTAGGCTCACAAGTTTAGTGTGAGCTCTTGTTGCAGAGAAGGATGAGAGCAAGGACAGTACAGCTCAGTCAGTATCGTGGCTATAGTATGTACCTGTTCTCGGGGCTCTGGTCCTCTGGGAGTGGAGCAGTGATCCCAGCCCCCTCGGTTCTCCTTTATCCTGCCTGTTCACCCGGAACCTCCATCTTGCAAAGGCCCTTCCTTCAGCAGCAACTCTGAATAGTGAATAGCTTGCTAATCTGTGTGTCTGCTTATTATTCTGCTTATTTTCTCACTTTGTCCATTCCCTATGCATTCAGCCATGTCATTGTTATCTTCTATTGTGAATTTCTGAACAGCAGAAGCTTGGACTAGGCCTCTTATCCCCACACGGCTCGGGAGCTTAATAAATGCCTCTTGATGATGACAACAGTGAGGGACATTGCAGGGTGAGGGCTTGAGGCCCCCAAGATGAGCAGCAGTTGGATTGTGGGGTGCTCAGTGATTTTCCTCCAGAGTTCTCAGCTTTTGTTTGCCTTCGGTTTCAGGCTCACCTGCCGTTTGCTGTCATTGGCAGCACAGAAGAAGTGAAGATAGGCAACAAGATGATGAAGGCACGGCAGTATCCTTGGGGCACTGTGCAGGGTGAGTGAGTCTCCAGGAGAGGGGTAGCACTCAGGAAGCCTGTTTTGTCTCTTGTCTCCAGCCACTGTATGACAAGTCCCTAACCCCCTGCTCATTCAGTATGGGTCTCAGATAGCCATAGGTGTCACTAGCAGCCAAATTGTGCTTTCATACCTGGATTCTCTGATGTGAGCAAGCTCCCTTTGTCTCTAACAGAGAAAGCATTCCTAAAGCAAAGCCAAATAGATTTGGAGCAAGGTAAGAAGGAGTGTGCAAAAAAGTATGTATACTCGCCCAAGTGCACCAGGAGATGTGCAAGAATGTTCGCAGCAGTGTTGTTCGTAAGGACAAATAATTAGAAACAACCCAGACATCCATTAAAATAGGCTGGATAAATTGTGAAATATTCACACAATGGGATATTATATAGCAGCAAAAATGAATGAACTACAGTTACATCTCCATGAATGAATCTCAGAAACATCACGTTGAACTAAATAAATCGTGGAAGAATACATAATATAGGATTCCATTTGTATGACTTCTAAAAGTAGGCAAAACTAAACAAGATATATATTTTCAGGAATTTATACATAAGTGGTGAAACTATAAAGAAAAACAAAGGAATGATAAACCCCCCAAAGTCAAGATAGTGGTTAAGTCTCATTGCTGGGGTTGGGAGGGTGAGGGGTCAGAGAGCGGGGCATGAAATCAGGAAGGGGCATGCAGGGGCTTCTAAGGTACTGGCACTGTTTAAGCCAGGTTGTGGAGACATTGATGTTCACACATTTCATGCACTCTTTTGTATGTATGATTTCACAATTTAAAAATCAGGTATATTGTATATATACTCAGGAAAGTTCCTTTTGTGGTCTGCCTGGCACATGTTAAGTTACCCTTGGGGCTGGTTGGTTCAGTGGATAAGACAAGGCCTAGGATGCTGCCATGTGTAGAAGAGGTCTCTGGTCCTCGAGTCTAGGGCTATGAGTGTGGATGGTTCCCTGTAAACTCATCCTAATTACTGGGCAAAGAACTGAAAGTGGGTGGTGAATTGTCCATACCACATTCAAAGGCTGGCATGTTTTAGGACCCAGAGACCCACTGGTGATAGCTGGATTTTCCATAGGTAGGATAGGACTGGTTATCAGAGCTGTGCTAAGTTTTGGTCTTTGCTGTTTGGGGCTGAGGATGTCCCAGTTAGGAATATTTGCAAATGGTTTCTGGACCAACAGCCCCACCCTGGAAATAAATCTGTGGTCTGAGAGAGAGGAACCTGAGGTGAGATGAGGAGAAGCCAGCAGATGGGGTTCCATTGACTTCCTTTCTCTAACTTGGACTACCCCACGCCAAACCAAAAACAGGCGGGTTTGAAAGTTTTTCTTGTAACTCTGAGTGGACTGTTCTGTTGGAATGAGGAAATTGTCTGTTGCTTGGGCAGCCCGCAGAGGCCTTGGAGTCCGTCCTTCTGACTGACCACCATAGATCACTGACCAGGGATGAGGAGGAGATGGCATATAGCATAGTCCTGAGACATTGTCTTGCTGGTACAATTTTTAGTGTTAGCTTATATTTTATGACAGTAGGGGGCTTTATCCCAAGGGCAATGGGTCTTAAGCAGAGGGATTTTGTGAGCTGATGTGGGCTTTGGAAAGGCAGCCTGCTGCAACTATGCCAGACTCTGACATCCCAGACCACTTCTCTGCCCCTACTACCCTCTCCCAGACCCTGCAAGACAGAATCCGGGGTGACTGTGGCTGTTCATCATCTCAGACACTACTGTCTTTAGTGATTAGGCCAAATGCCACCATCTGACACAGCAGAGCCACACCTGTAGCTACCTTGACAAAGCACTGCTCAGGACCTTCTGGCCCCTCCAGTAATCAACTTGGCTATGATTTGGTCCACGTCTGTCATTCTTGGCCCACTGCCACCCAAAATGCAGACCTTTGCCACATTCTCTTGAGGTGGGGACTTGCTCACTCAGGCCAGAAAGTGGGATCCCCTTTCTCCTGGTCACCATAGCCGCTGTCAGGCCATTATCCACCCTCTAAAAAAGACCTCCCTGGAAGCTTCTACCATCCAGATGGGCCATGCCTGTGTCCACACCCCTCCTTGTCACTATCATCTATTGATATCCTAGTTCTTTCCCCTTAGTCTTTGGGGACTTTGTTACCTGGTCATAGCCTTTGCCTCTCCCCTATATTGCCTGGGTTTGAATCCTAACTCTGCAACTTGCTAGCTACATAACCTTGCCTAACTTCGTTTAGACCTTGCGAGGACCGTTCACGTCTCTGCCTGACAAATTCCTATTCTACCTCCCTGAATCATCTTAGGAGGTTGTCTCTTCAGCGAAGCCTTCACTCTCCCAGGAGTTCTTAAATTCCCCTCTTGTGGGCTTTCATTGCAAATCAGCTATACCTCCCTTATTTTTTCTTTTTTCTTTTTTTTTTGGTAATTTTGGATTGTATTATATTTGTGTATTTGCATCTGTTCTTCCACTAAACTGTAAGCTTCTGAGGGCAAGACTCCATGACTTTGTTTCTGAATTTCCAGTGCCTGGTACAATACTGAGAACAGGGGTTCCACAAATATATGTTGGATGGATGGATAAATGTGCATGTGCTGTTGTCCCCAAAGTGGTGCAGAACAAACATTCCTGTGAGGGTTCTGATTGGTGCATTTAAGTCAAGGTACTACTGAGCATCTTCTTAGGTATTTTTATGGTATTACAGCTTGTCATTACTGTCATTTTGGTAACTTTTCCTTTGCATTTTTAGTAGAAAAGCAAATTAGGAGGTAAACTGGTAGGTTCTATATACACAGATTGCAAGGCGATGTCATTGTTAGACATTTCATCCCTTTCTGCTTCTGCTGGCCTTTTAATACCCCAAACCCTGCTGTGCAGTTGAAAACGAGGCCCACTGCGACTTTGTGAAGCTGCGGGAGATGCTGATTCGGGTCAACATGGAGGATCTGCGGGAGCAGACCCACACCCGGCACTATGAGCTGTACCGCCGCTGTAAGCTGGAGGAGATGGGCTTCAAGGACACGGACCCTGACAACAAACCATTCAGGTACCACTCCCGGCAGCCCAGCTCAGCTCAGCCCACCCAGGTGGCGTGGAAGCCTTGCCCTGCAGAGTTCACAGGGGAGGCAAGACACACGTGCTAAAACCTAGAGAAGCAGGGGTAACTCGCGTGCCAGTTCTGCTTGCCTGATCCCCCTCTGCCTCCGCACATCTGCCCAGAGAGCTGTGGCAGGGCAGGCTTGGAAGCACCGCTGCCCTGCTTATAAGGGCAAGGAGAGGGAGGAGGCCCAGAGAGAGAATCAGCAAGGCAGAACACGCGCATGCGTGCACGCACACAGCAGCTCCAGTCAGCTGTGCTGGAGGGGTGACCCTGCCCTGGGGCCTCGTTACACAGGGTGGCAGTTTGTAACTGTCCTCTGCTCCTCTTTCTTCATCAGGCTCCTGCTGCTCAGGCAGGTTACCAGTCCGTTCTCCCCATTCTCAAAACCGGGTAGGACCAGGAAGCAGACACGTATCGATGAACTGCACGCTCTTCATTCTCTGTCCTAAGTGTTTGCATTCAAGTGCAAGTTTTATTTCAACCACAGGATGTCAATAATCATGGATATATTTCTCAAATCAAAACCTAAGATGCTCTCAGAGACATGGGATGTTTTTGAAAGCAGGTTATTATGCAGATAGGAGCAATATGCCAAGTAGAAGTGTCTGTCTAATCTATATGTATGGTGCGTGACACAAGCGCCACAGTTTAAATTAGCACATGGTGCCCTTTATTTGGCTTGGTCTCTTTTAAGAAATGTCAGACACTGATAAGCATGTGAGGGAGATGTCTGTGTGCTTAAGGCGGCTTTCAAATGGCCTCTGAGATCCCAGAGTACCGTTCACAGCTGAAAGCCATCCTGGGGACAGAACCAAGCCAGTCCTTTGGTGGGGCAGACTCCCCCCTGCACGGATGGGCAGGGCCAGCAGCCACTGGAGCCGCTCCCATTCTCCCATGCTCCGGCCTGAATACCTCTGTCTTCACCCTCTTCACTCCTTTTCTGCCGGCTTCTTTCCATTTTGTGTGTAAACATTCTCATGCTAAAGAAACTCTCCCTTAACTCTGCTCTTCCTCTGCCCCATGAAGTTTGGCTCTCACGAGAAGGAGAAAGAGTTGTTCTATATTTACTGGTTCTTCTCCCCCATCTTTCATTTATTCCTCAACCCAGTGCAGTCTGGCTTCTGCCCCTAGCACATCACTGAAATGCCTCTCTCCAAGGCCAGCAATTGTGCAGACCTGTGGCCAATTTCAGTGTGGCCTTTGAGTCCCAACTTAATTATCTCGACACCACATTTGATACTGTTCCCCTCTGCCTCCTTCTTGAAATACTCTCTGGCTTGGGCTGTTCTAGTGCTGCTCTGGCTGGCTTTATTCCCAAGCCTCTTGCCACCCTTAGCCTCTTTTGCAGGCTCATTTTTCTTTAGGTTCTTCCTATATATGTTGGTATCCCCCAGGATGCTTTCCTAGGGCCTCTGCTCCTTCCACTCCCGGTTCTCTTTGCAGCTGACTCTTTCTACTCTCACAGCCCTAATTGCCACCTAGAAGTGGATGACTCTTAGGCTAAACTCTTACTTTCAAGCTCTAAACTCATTGATCCAACTGTATACTAGTCATCTCCACTCAGACATCCCAGAAACTCAAGAGGTCTACGACCTAATTTATCTTCTTCTCTTAAACATACTCCTTCTCCAGTGTTCCCTTTTGCAGTTCATGGTACCACCACCCACCTGGTTGCCCAAGCCCCAAACCAGAATTATCTTTGACTCCTCCCAAGTCCCAGGAATTCTGCTTCCCTAGCTGTTCTCGAAGTTTCCCTCCATTCCCTGCCAGCCCTTAACATTAAGATCCTGTCGTTGCTTGGATTGTTGGAAAGGCTGCCCTTTAGTCAACACCCAGACCGGTCTTTGTCATTTGCAAATCGGATCTAATCAGACTTCTTACTTAAAACCACGTGGCAGATATATGTCCGATTTTTTTTAAAAAAATATGGCATCCAAAGTCTGTTCTCCTCTGCTAGAGGCAGGAACCTCATCTCCTGCTACCACACAGCTTACACAATGCTCTCCAGCCATGGTGAACCATGCCTGGCTCTTCAAGAATGCCGTTCTCTCTCCACATGTGCTTTTACACATGCTACCCTCTTTGGAGCACAGTTGCCCCTCTTCTTCACCAGGCTAGTTCCTATTTCCTTAAAAATATGTCCAGGCTGGGGGCAGGGGGCCTTAGCCCAGGCATCTCCCACTAGACCGTGAGTTCCTTAATGGCAGCACAGTGGCCATTGGCCCTAGATGCTGAGTGACTAGCATCGTGTCAGTTAGCACTGGCTCCAGCACATAGTAGAGTCTCATCAAGTGTTTGTTGAAATAATTAACGTGGTCAGTTTCAGAGCCAGGGCCTGGCAGCATAGTGCAGTGGTAGAGCCACATGAAGAGACAGGAGACCCAGCTTCCGGTCCCATATCTGCCTGTAACTAGCTGTGTGATCTTGAGCAAGTCACTTCCCCTCTCTGGGCCTCAGTTTCTTCACCTGTAAAATGAGAGTATAGACCCAGTTGTTCTAAGTCTATCCAGTTCACCAGGGTTGCCCCATCCCCCTCCAGAAGCCCTGCAATCATGCTGTCACTGGCCAGGCCAGGTGCCCACAGCTCTGTGGTTCTGTTCTTGCATCTGGCTCCCAATTGGGGGAGGGAGGATGGAGGAACCCAGGGAGGAAGGTTGAGGCCAGTTTTCATCCAATGGGAGCCATTCTGAAGGCAGAGGAATTAACCTGACCATGTTCACAGCTTGCAGGAGACATATGAGGCCAAAAGGAATGAGTTCCTAGGGGAGCTCCAGAAAAAAGAAGAGGAGATGAGACAGATGTTCGTCCAGAGAGTCAAAGAGAAAGAAGCAGAACTCAAAGAGGCAGAGAAAGAGGTAAATGTGAACCTGGGTGCTAGGCCGGAAGGGGAAGAGGGCTGAACATGGCGTGGAAGCTCAAGGGCTTCATCCTCAAGAGAGCAGCCAGTGGGAGCTTTGCAACCTCTAGGCAAGAATGGGTGTCTGTAGCCCTGCCTTGGCTGGCACAGAGAGAGCTGTGAGATCTTTGTCTTTTTTGTAGAAACAAGATCTCATTATGTTGCCCAAGCTGGTCTTGAACTCCTGGCCTAAAGCAATCCTCCCGCCTCGGCCTCCCAAATTGCTGGGAGTACAGGCATGAACCACCATGCCCAGCCAGATCTGCGTCTTCTTGATCCGGCATTCCCAAGGCCAGGATGTTTTCTCATTCTGTGTCACTTAATTCTCCAGAGCCTAGCCGTCCCATATGGTAGCCACGAGCAACATGTGACAATTTTTTTTTTTTTTGAAATTTTTAAATTGCATTTTTTTTTTTTTGAGATAGAGTCTCGCTTTGTTGCCCAGGCTAGAGTGAGTGCAGTGGCGTCAGCCTAGCTCACAGCAACCTCAAACTCCTGGGCTCAAGCAATCCTCCTGCCTCAGCCTCCCGAGTAGCTGGGACTACAGGCATGTGCCACCATGCCCGGCTAATTTTTTCTATATATATTAGTTGGCCAATTAATTTCTTTCTATTTATAGTAGAGACGGGGTCTCTCTCTTGCTCAGGCTAGTTTCGAACTCCTGGCCTTGAGCAATCCGCCCGCCTCGGCCTCCCAGAGTGCTAGGATTACAGGCGTGAGCCACCGCGCCCGGCCATAAATTGCATTTTTAATTGACAAGCAACTGTCTATATTTATCAGGTGCGATGTGATGCTTTGATATATATTTACATTATGGGATGATTAAATCAAGCTAATTAACAAGTCCATCACCTCACATACTTATTTTTTGTGTGTGGTAAAAACATTTAAAATCTACTCTTTTAGCAATTTTCAAATATACAGTAAAATTTAAAACTCAGTTTCTCAGTCACATTTTAGTCACATATCAAATGCTCAATCCTCATGTACCTAGTAGCTATCACATTGAACAGCACAGATACAGAACATGTCCATCGTCATAGAAAGTTTGGTTCTATTGGGCAGCACTGCTACAGCGTCAAGCCCTTGAGGTCAGGTGTGGGGAGGATTCTCTTCCTGGGGGTTTGGAGCTCAGTAGGAACAAGTGATCACTTTCTCAGCTCTACTACCCTATCCCACCTTCTCTGATGGCTATGGAGAGAAAAATGGTCCCAGGCAGTCCTGGGTACTTTGCTGAAACCTAAAACAGTGACAGTTGGGGCATTTCCCCTTACACTTGGATATCCTGTTCCATTTCGTTTTAAACATCTCTGCAGCTCTGGGCAGTTTTAAAACTAAGGTTTGATGGTCCTATCTGGGGTTTTCATTGCTGAACCAGGTGTCCTCAAACTACGGCCCACCAAGGACATTTATCCGGCCCACCCGGTGTTTCTGCCACCGCTGCCTGTCCTGCTTAGCAGCCGACTCGTCCCAGGCCCACAGTGCGCATGTGTGGAATGTGCGCCGCACTCTCCAACGGTCCTCCAATGGTCTGAGGGACAGTGAACTGGCCACCTGTTTAAAAAGTTTGAGGACCCCTGGCTTAAGCTATGCCTAAGCATGTGTAGTTAGTCCTCTATCCCGTGGCCTTGCCTCTAAGTTCTACCCTGCCGATTCACCTATTGCTGCCTAAGTTACACTTTTGGTCGCATCAGCCATGGCTTCACCTCTCTGGGTTGGGCCTGAAACGCCTCAATTAGAATGAAGGGAAGCACCTAATCACTTCCCAACCCTGTTCCACCTTTAATCTGCTGTGACTCTCAAGGGTTATCACTTGAAAGCCCACAGCAAGGGTATTGCTTTTATATCAGTTTCACTTGTAAAAAGAAAAATGTCACCCAGCACTTTTAGGAGAAGTGAGAGGATCTCAAAGATAAATGAAGAAAAGTGCAATGAACAAACAAAAAGAAAACTGCAATGAACAAAAACCAGGTTAAAGCAACTGGCAACCCCACCCCAAGCTACCAGTAAAAGCTGATTTATATAGCAAGTGGTCATTCACCACACCTTACTAAGTGACAGTCCCAAATGCCCATAGGACCAAAATTCACCTTCTTTATGGTGTGCTGCAAGTGCTACAGGATCCTAAATTCTCCCCTGAATCCTCAAAAGAAAGTGAAGTTATGCTTTGTCTGCTCTTATTATTCAAGGTAGAGTCTCCCAGTCTAGTTTGTGACCACCTGTGCTTCTTCCTCTCTTACCCACTTATCACAATAACGTGCCAGAATATTCTTCCTGTTCTTTGAGTCTCTAGTTCTATTCAGGGCTAGTTAAGGCTGAGGTCTCCACACTCATTCCATGTTATAAAATCCTCTTTTGGGCTAGGCGTGGTAGCTCATGCCTGTAATCTGAGTGCTTCGGGGAGGCTAAGGAGAAAGGAGTTCGAGACCAGCCTTGGCAAAATAGTGAGATCCCATGTCTACAAAAAAAAATTAAAAATTAGCCATGCGAGGCCAGGTGCAGTGTCTCACACCTGTAATCCTAGCACTCTGGGAGGCCAAGGCGGGCGGATTGCTCAAGAGCAGGAGTTCGAAACCAACCTGAGCAAGAGTGAGACCCCATCTCTACTATAAATAGAAAGAAATTAATTGGCCAACTAAAAATATATATAGAGAAAAAATTAGCCAGGCATGGTGGTGCATGCCTGTAGTCCCAGCTACTCGGGAGGCTGAGGCAAAAGGATTGCTTGAGCCCAGGAGTTGTAGGTTGCTGTGAATTAGGCTGACACCATGACACTCTAGCCCAGGCAACAGAGTGAGACTCTGTCTCAAAAAAAAAAAAAAATTAGCTATGCGTAGTGGCACACATCTGTAGTCCCAGCTACTTGGGAGGCTGACGCAAAGAGAATCACTTGAGCCAGGAGTTCAAGGCTGCAGTGAGCTATGATTGTGTAACTGCATTCCAGCCTGGGCAACCGAGAGAGATCCAGTCCCTCCCCCCCCCCAAAAAAAAATTCCTTTTATCTCCTTCCATGCCCAAGGCCAAGTATTTCTTTTGACAAGCTTTGCCATTGCTAAAGTTTTCTCTGTAATCCACGGTGATTCTCCATGATTATAGGGGATTAAAAAAACGCAGGGGTCCCTTACATATGGGAGGTCCCATTATATAATTCTCTAAAGACTGGGTTGACCTTGGGCAAATTCGTTAACTTCTCAGACCCTCTGTTTCTTTGTAAAATGGAGATAATAACAGAAACTACCTCATAGGATTGTTGTAACAATTAAATGAATTAATACACACAAATTGCTTATAAAAGTCATTGCTTGGCCTATAATAAACACTCAGGAAATGTCATATTATTATTAATGTTATTATTTACCATGTGTGGTAACTATGGGGACTCAAGCAGAACACACTGTTCCTTGATTGTATTCAGGAGGAGAGACTGAGATAAAATGGCAGGAGAAGAGAACCATCTAGAGTGTGGCCCCCTCTGGTGCCATCATGCCAGTCCCTGGCAGAAATGTCTCCTCAGGCCCCAGGGTCCTGCAGGATTGAAGCCTTGCCAGTCCCCACCTAGCCTGGGCTTGGCTAGGCCTGAGGCTGCTCATGGGGGGCTCTCCTTAATCTCCCTGCGCTTCCCTGGCAGCTGCATGAGAAGTTTGATCGCCTGAAGAAACTGCACCAGGATGAGAAGAAGAAGCTGGAGGATAAGAAGAAATCTCTGGACGATGAAGTAAATGCTTTTAAACAGAGAAAGACAGCAGCCGAGCTGCTCCAGTCCCAGGGTCCCCAGGCTGGAGGCTCACAGACTCTGAAGAGAGACAAAGAAAAGAAAAAGTAAGTAGTAGGCTGTTCTTTTCTGGGTGGTGGCTTCTTTTTCCTCCTGCTCCTCCCCTCGGGGCAGGACCTGAAGGCTGAGGGAGTTGAGGGCTGGTGACCAGTGGTGAACCACGGGCTGTCAGATTAATTTGGGTACCTATCACAAGTCTTAGCTTCCCCATGGGACCTTTGGACTCACTGAGTTTGGGGAGCTTGGAGCAGGGGCAGGTTGTGGTCCCAAAGGCCCTGACCCTCTGTTTGACCCACTTAGGAAAGCCCTGCAAACTTAAGGTAGATGGGAGAGGAAGGGAAAAGAGAAGAAAAGCAAAGGGAGTGTGAGAGCAGAAGGAAGGAAAAGATAGGAGGTACAAAGTTATACCAAAGAGAGGAACAGAAAGAAGGTCAGACTGAGGGTGGTGGAAGATCCTTTAGCAGAAGCCTCTGGGCACCTTTTCCCCCACCTCTTCTGAGGTTGGAGCTGATCTGGCTTCCAGGCCTACTTGCTCCTCCTATAACTGACATGGTTCGCCCCTCCTTGAGCCCTGAAGCCCCATCCCTTTGCCATCCCTCCTTTGCTGGCTGCTTAGTTGTGCCCAGCCTGCGGTGCTGAGGACTCCACAGGGAGCCCTCAGGTGCCATTGTATTCTGTGTGTGCCCCATCCTCAATCTAGGAAGTGATTTTAAAACCAATCTCAAGAGGCCGGGCGCAGTGGCTCACATCTGTAATCCTAGCACTCTGGGACGCCGAGGTGGGAGGATCACTCAAGGGCAGGAGTTCTAAACCAGCCTTTACAAGAGCGAGACCCCGTCTCTACTAAAATTAGAAAAAAATAATTGGCCAACTAAAAATATATAGAGAAAAAATTAGCCGGGCATGGTGGCGCATGCCTGTAGTCCCAGCTACTCAGGAGGCTGAGGCAGGAGGATTGCTTGAGCCCAGGAGTTTGAGGTTGCTGTGAGCGAGGCTGATGCCACGGCACTCTAGCCCGGGCAACAGAGCCGGGCAACAGAGTGAGACTCTGTCTCAAAAAATAAATAAATAAATGAATAAATAAATAAATAAAACCAATCTCTATCCCCTGGTATTTGCTAAGGCAAGATACAGTATGAGCTCCTGGTTACCTTGTAGGTCAATAATCCTGACCCAGCCCCAGTCTCTGCTTGCTGAAGTTGTTACCCAATTCCTTATTCCAGAACCAGAGAAAGGTATTTCTGACAGGACCCATATGACACCAAGAAAACACTCAATGGTCCCCTTATGCCCTGTAGTTGTTTGTACAGTGTGACCAGAGGAGCTCTCAGATGGAGTGTTTAACAGTGCCCTTACTAAAGGGTCCTGAGGATCCAAAAGATGTCCATGGCCATTGCCTTCTATTTTTAGCCACTTGTTCTTGGATTTAACTATTGGACATTTGCCAGAAGGAAGAAACATCTTCCTTTCCTCTGTGCCTGGCTTATCATTTAGGAAAAATATGACTTTTGTACAACAGTAAAATATTTTATATTTGAAGGCACTCAGTTTTTGCAATCCAATGATTCTCTATTCAAATATGTAAATTGAATATTTTCACAGATTAGTCCAGAGACTTTTTTTATTACTAAATCATAATACCATATGTCAAATTCACTGATTTATTAACATTTTGGGTATTACATGCTGAATAAAGTTCAACTAGCCCACGGGGTTGGGGAGTCTCTTTGGATACACCCTATACTGTATTAACTGTCGTGGTGTCTTAGTTGCACCAGCAGGAATGGATTCCTATTTTTAAGATCAGAAAAATGTAAATTTGTCTTCTAGCTCTAACCTGCTACCTTCATAGTCCTGTGGAATTTGTTAACTCAATCCCTAGGGCAGTTTCACAGCCTGCTTGTGGGAATTAGGAGATTAGTGTCAGTGCAGTCTGAACAAACTACACTATAAATATTCCCTGTTCAGTTGTTCAGTAAAAGTTCCTCTCAGACCAGCTTTCCCCTCATTGCCTGAAATTGACTGATTTCCCCCACCCCAGGCAGAAGACCCTGTAAAGGGAGACATCTCTCTCCAGTCTCCAGGAATATTTGGGGGTTGGTGATAGTGCCCTTTTCAAATTCTGAGATGGGTGAAAATCTTGTTGGCGTGTGGCACCTCCTGTTAGTAATAAGAGCCTAACAAAATGGCCTGTCCCCTGTGCTTCCAGATACCCAAGTGGCCCCAGGTCTGGGCTTCTTAGATAATTTCAAGAACAATTGGTTAAGTTCTGCGAGAGCTACCATTAGACCTGTGCCACTCTGCTCCCACGGTGGTGGTGGTAGTAGTATTTCTTCTTGAGAGATGGTGATTGGCTCTAATAGCCACACATGCAGAATTTCCTTTGGCTGCTCCTAAAGAGATCAGGAAAGAGAGTTCCAATGTGTCAGGGGTCCCTACCACTCCACCCTTCCCACTTCCCCTTCCTGCTACTTCTAATCTCCTTTGACCTCTAACTCCTCATAGTTTGTGTCAGTTCATAATATTTGATTTCTCCTCATGCACACCCCATCTTCATCAGCTCTTACTGTTTTACAGTTAACCCTGCTGTTTGCTGCATGCTGCATGAGACCCAGGGTCCTGGTAAGCTTCGTTAACTCTAAATAGAACTGGCTGTGGCTTCCAGAAAATACCTTCCTTCAATCTCACACTCCCAACACATGTATCTAATTATAAAAGAAGCTGTTTCATTGGTCTAGCTGGTTTCCTCTCGTCATTTACAATCTTAAGCAATAGCCTGGGCCAGGCGTGGTAGCCCACGCCTATAATGCTAACACTCTGGGAGGCCGAGGCGTGCGGGTCATTTGAGCTCAGGAGCTCGAGACCAGCCTGAGCAAGAGCGAGACCCCGTCTCTACTATAAATAGAAAGAAATTAGCTGGACAACTAAAAAAAAATAATATATACATATATATGTATATGTATATAAAATTAGCTGGCCATGGTGCCACATGCCTGTAGTCCCAGCTACTCGGGAGGCTGAGGCAGCAGGATTGCTTGAGCCCAGGAGTTTGAGGTTGCTGTGAGCCAGGCTGACGCCACGGCACTCACTCTAGCCTGGGCAACAGAGTGAGACTCTATCTCAAAAAAAAAAAAAAAAAAAAATGAAATAGCCTGGTGTGGTTTCAAGTGTACATGTGGAATGCCTGCCTGCCGGATCAAAAGGAGGGATGTTCTCAGACTTTTGCTGCTAGAACAACACCTGAGTAGCATAGGTGGATCCATCTGTAATCAATATTTGAGGTTTCAATTTTGGCAGTTTTTGTCTTAAAGAGCCATAACCATTACTTTCAAAATTAACTATAGTGGCAAAATAGAAACTTTGGGGTTCACAAACCCTGTCCTGCAATGTCACAGGACATTGAGAATGTCCAGAGCCAATGGAAACTTGCTTCTCTGTTTCTTTTTGGTGGCTGTTTCTTATCTGAGTGATTCAAGTTCTCAAATTTTCTTTGGCTGTGTACCTTATAAAATCATAATAAAAGTGGAAGCAGGCCAGGCGCGGTGGCTCATGCCTGTAATCCTAGCACTCTGGGAGGCCGAGGCAGGTGGATCACTCAAGGTTAGGAGTTCGAAACCAGCCTGAGCAAGAGCGAGACCCCATCTCTATTAAAAAATAGAAAGAAATTAATTGGCCAACTAAAAATATACAGAAAAAAAAATTAGCCAGGCATGGTGGCACATGCCTGTAGTCCCAGCTACTCAGGAGGCTGAGTCAAAAGGATAGCTTGTGCTCAGGAGTTTGAGGTTGCTGTGAGCTAGGCTGACTCCATGGCACTCTAGCTTGGGCAACAGAGTGAGACTCTGTCTCAAAAAAAAAAAAAATTAAAAAGTGAAAGCAAATGAAAAGACCTCAGATAGTATAGAGAATTCCTTACATTTAATTCTACAAATACCAGCTTCATGAAAACCTCTTATAAGAAGATAAGCAGGTGACCTTTGGTAGGAAGAATTCCTGAGTGCTAGCTGTTGTGTCTGCATAAGTGGACAAAGCAGTTCCTTACATCACCTAGTTTATAGGGAAACCAAAAGCAGTAATTAAGCACCTTCTATCTATTCTACTATACTCAGGTAGTAGAGAGGGCATATAAATATTTTTAATTTAAAATGTCTTATTTTTTATTGTTTCTTAAACTTTGCCATGGAAACTTTAAAACACAAACAAAAGAAAATAGGGTTGTACAATGCAGCCCCATGTACTGACAACCCAGCCCCCAAACAACTGTCAACATATGGCCAATCCTGTTTCATCAATTACCCCAGACCTGCTGAATTATTGTAAAGCAAAACTCATATAATTTTATCCATAGATATTTTAGTATATATCTCAGAGAGATAATGGATCTTTAAAAAAGATGTAAACACAATCCCACCATTATCACACCTACAAAATTAACAATAATTTGTTAACATAAAATGTCTAATCAGTGTTTGAAATATCCCAGTTGTCTCATAAATGCCTTTTTACATTTGGTATGTTTAGATCAGGGGATATAAAATATTGAAGACTTTTCCCCATTCACCCATGTAGTTTATGATTTAAATGGTGACTACTATTAGTAACCAAACTGATTGCAGCTTTTGCCCTTGGGGCCTTTGGGCAGCTGGCAAAACATCCTACTTTCAAGCATATCCCAAGGAGGAAGTCCAAAGAGGCTTCTGAAACATAAAGCCTGAGAATCTGGGCCAAAGGCAACAATCTTAAAAGAACAACAAATTGATTTACTATCTAGTTTAAAGGCAAGTTGTGGAGCTCCTGCTAGTTGACTGGAATTAAACAGCAGATTTAGGAAGACTATATATTCCTAGAGTGCCTCCACCGCTGTAGTCCCAGTGCCTAGCAAAGTGTCTGGCATGCAATAGGAGCTCAATCCATGCGTATTTTCTTTGTTCCCCCATTTTCAATGAGGAGAGCAAGAAAGATGTATTCTAGTAAATTAGATTTCAGCTAATTCAGGTTTCATTGCACATGGCTCGACACAGTTTCATTCAGGTTTCCCCAAGTAAAT